AAAAAAAAATTACCTCTTACAAATTATGTCACACTTGTCTAGTCTAGTACTAGTTCCACATTTGTCTCACACTAGTCTAACATGCTTAGTTTTAAATCTAAAAAAATGCACGTATAACCGAGTTGTTGATTAAAAACGTTTTGAAACAATCCAGTCAAGCCTAAGAATACAAAAAGCACTTCCTACTTGTTACCGAGTATTCGATTTGACCCACTCTAATGTAAAATACTTAATTCTGGATCTTAAAAGATCCACAAAAAATCACGTCGGTGATATAATACTCAAAAAAATGCTTTTAAATAACTCAGCAAAGGCTATATAAACAAAAAAGTACCTCTTAGAAATTATGTCACATTTGTATAGTCTAGTACTACCACCCACTCTAATTTAAAACTGACTTAATTCTGGATCTTAGCAAACACATTGTTGGAGAATGTTTTTCAAGTACTAGTTTTGTTGAGGTTAAAAGCTTCTAAGGATGTCGGGAACTTATCCTTTTTCAAATAGTTTTTCATGCCTTAGCTTCGTAACTAACAACTATGGTTGAGATTTATAGTGACTTATCTCAAAATCTCCACACTTGTTCATGCCATCGGGTGGCTTGCGCTGCTCCTCCAAAGCCTCATTGACAATTAGTGCCATTCCCTCAAGTTGGTGCAATTCTTTGTGACAGTGAAGAAACCATTGGCCTGGATTATCAGAAAGAAAATTGATGACAACGTAGCCGCCAGCAGGGACCATTACTGTGTCCTTTCTTATCGTGCGCCTATTGATGGTAAAATTCATTGGCTCCGTCTTCCAGCTTGGTCTGGTACAACTTTCGTTGACACACCCTTCTTTAGTGCAGTTAACATCAGCGCAGGATATATCACTGTTGCGTTTTTTAACATAACCAGTGGTATCGTCATACTCTGGATATCCAACGGCAACTACATGAAACGTATGGCCATGGAGATGAATTGGATGAGCACTAGGAGAAGCACCAATTGATGAAAACACCAATTGAACAGTTTCGTTATATGGAATGTCTATCACATGCACACATGAGCACTCGAGTGTCGATGGATTGCAGTCAGCCGTAAGGTTACAGATGGTGTCTTTTTCTCGAAAATCGTTATATTGGGTTTGGGGTGGAAAGGAAGGAAGAATAAAATTTCGCCCGTTCACTGAACTAGCTTTAGATTCACCTTCAAAATGAAAATTGATGAAATGTGTGCAATTTCGGCATTGGCTGTTAGGGTTTGCATTTGGAAGTTCCCCAGGTGGAGTTCGCTCAAGTAAACGCAGCTCGTCTACATTAGTACAGATAATGTTGTATGAACAATGAAAGTTTTTAAATGGGCAGTTCACTGCTTTGCATGGATTCTCCTGGGTGCACACTCTGAGAGGAGAATTGTTTTTGATTTCTTCATATCTACGCGACGGCACATTGACATCTGGATCATGCGAATCGCTACGCCGTTTGTAGTGCAAAATAGCTTCTGCCACATGTCCTAGTGACTTGTAAGGGGGCCCTTGGCCACTTTGATCAATCTCCATAGTCTCGGCACGAATCCAGTAGTCTTTTATTTCCTCTTTTGCATCGAGTAGAAAGTCATATCTCTCTCCGGGATGGATCATGATGAAATCAACCTTTTTTTCGGGTTCAATCCAATAGCCGTCAGTGCCGACCACAGTCAGTTTATGGCCATCAATGGAAAAGCTGTAAGAATAAAGCCCTTGGGCTCCAATAAGCCGAAAGCGATATATCTTTCCGGACTCAACTGTGAATATACTCAGTCTGGTTTTGTTGTATGGAACATCATCATGTCTGCCTTTGCCATTTATGATTCCAGAAAAGTAGGGAATAGGTCCAGCCCCGCCATTGTCAAAACTACGTGTACCACTATACTTTTGATCAGATGGAGTAGGCACTTCGCCGTGCGGCTTGTCTGGATAAAAGCCTAAGTCGGCTTGGCTCTGTGTGAACAGGTCTAAAGATGCCTCCACCTGCCAGTCTAGAAGCGTTAAAGTGTGTTTATCTGGATTATCTTTAAATTCAGCTTTCAGTTTTGCTCGTATTCGGTCCAACCTTGATCTGGTTTCTTTGACTACAAGTGCACCATAGAGGCCATCTGTTCTCTGAGCGCCACTGTGGGAGTGGTACCAAAACGTGCCAGCAGGACTAGCAATGTACTCGTATGAAAAGCTTGATGATGGTCCTATTTGACATTGAGTGACTTGACCAACACCATCCATCCAAGGTGTTCCTTTCTGATGCATTCCGTGCCAGTGAATTGAAATACCTTCAGTGGTGAGATTGTTGTGAACGTGAATAATAACCTTTTGCCCTTCCTGAACTATTAAGGTAGGTCCAGGAATTTGTCCATTGACGGCTATTACCATACGATACGTTTTACCATCTACAAACTGAGGATAAGTGCATTTGGCTAGGTCTAATGTTGAACATGTTCTATTATACTGCAGTGGCAAAAGTGTTCCGTCTTTATCGAAATAATAATTGACTCCCTCGGCTCCTCGCAAAGCTATTCCTGTTGGTTCATCGACCGACAACTTTTGATAGCTGGTGAAAGTTCGAATTTCGTCAATTTCGAGGTTAAAAATACATACATGTGCACGCTTCTTGCATCTACACGTTGGATTGCCGTATTCACAGTTGACGGTCACCTCATATTCCCACTTTAGCCTGATGTCTCTCGTATTGTAACTTCCAAGCTGTGGATCACTTGTCAAATCCATGTACTGCTCCTCACCAGTCTTAGCAGAGGTGTGAATGGATGATATATACCAATTTTCATTTCCTTGATGATGAGGCTGTAGTCGTACTTCCTTAATTTCGGATATCGAAACGCACCTTTCGGTTTGAAATCGGCTAACGAAGTTCAGCTCTAGCACAGAGGATTGGCTTCGTAGCTCATATCCTACAAGTTCTGCCCTAAGTTTTTGGTCCTGCATGAGAACAAGGATAAGGAAGTAGCTCTTTCTATCCATTTTTGAGGAACCATCTCCTTTCATACCTCCCTTGGTCTTTGCCTCAACGCGTATGTACGTGATACAGGATCCTGCGACAGCATAGGTGAGGAGGTGCTCTTTGGCGTGGTATGAGTGATGATGTTCTTCATTGCCGTCCACCCACATACTGAAGCCTGGATCACTGGTCAGCTTGGTGAAGGCTCTATGCGATCCCGCGGTGTAGGTATCGATTGACACAACGTACCATCTATTATTTCCTCGAGCCGTGAGATGAACTTTTCTTATTTCTTTACGAGTGCAGATGAGTGGCGGGTCAAAATCACTTTCGGCGTTCAAGTCTTCTTCGTGTCGGTGACCTTGGTATTTGCTTCCATTAAGCTCCGCCTGATGCACTTTGCCATCACTCAGAACGATCTTTAGTAGTAGATTCCCTTTAGGA